CAGCTCAGTAATCTTATTTTACAGGTGGAATAGGCTCTTCTGTTATGAAATGTATAAATGCTAAACAATGTGCTTAACATTCACATTACTCTTTCCACTTTCATTGGTTTTCTCTCTCTGGTTTCTCTTCCTTTGATCCTTTTATTCATACATTCTAATCCTTTCAAAAAAATTATGCTTTTCTCTTATGTTCCTACATAGAGCTTACCTTTATTTTCTAAAGCTTACTTTACTTTTGAATTAATCTTTCCAAAAGTCCCATAATGAACACTAACCCCTGTCAGAGTGTGCTATCACCCCAACTAAAGAATACCCTGTTGGCTATGTGACATGGAAAAGATCACAAGCTTGGGGTTAGACTCTTAATGTGGTTGTGTACCACTGAGTCAGAACCAAAATCACTGCTGACCCTCGAACGGGTTTTCAGAGGCAGTAAATCTCAGAGAATAGTTAGGTAAAGTTAGACCAGTTAATTTAAGCCTCAATTGCCTCATACATCAAGAGAATAGAATAAAAACCTGAAGAGTTTAAAAACAGTATGTATGAAGTGGCTGGCAGAATGTTACACTAAAGAGCTGGCTCTGTAAAGCTCTCCTGTGTTTGGAAGTTATTTCTAAATCTGGAAAGCAAAAAAGTCCTGAAATATAAGAACTTTTCCCTAAGGGATGCTGTGGTAAAACCTGCCTTGTCAATTATGACATTTTTATACACCCCCAATTAAGTGGTGGACAGTCCAAATTCACTGGTGATGGAATAATAATTAATAGCATATGTACCCCCAAACACTAAAAAATTTTTTTCTTAAAATTTACTGCTCCAAATGTTCCAAGCTAGGGATAATAGATTTAATACAGTCCATGTGGCCTCAAATATAACAGGTAAACTTTTAGTAGAAAAAAATGGTCAAGATTTTTGCAATCTAAAGTTTGCTTTGATATTTCCTTTGGTTTAAAAAAAAATTACAGGTAAATAAATCTCAGATTTTTTTTAAAAAAAAACAACACATCTCTGAAAATTCTATTTATGACATCTGGAGTATGTTTTCCCTAAAATATTTTTAAATTTTTTAATTATTAATTTCAATGAAAATTTAGAGACTATGGATTTCCATTCATTCATTGTTGTACTTTTCTCCCCTCTCAACCCTCCCCCCAAATATTTTTTTAGAGAGCACAAAAGGTCAATTAAAAATATGTTCATCTGTAAAGATCATTAAATTAAAAAAATACTTGATCATGTCTATAAGTTTTTCTATCCTCTATTATATGGCGCTTGGAAGTTGGAGTGGCATCCACTTCTGTAAGCCTCCAGAAACCCTATGAACCTGGAGAGAGGATGAAAGACACCCAAGCGTTGAGGACTCTCCTTCATAGGAATTAACAACAAAACTCCAGAGTGAGAGAGAGCCTTACAAAGTAAAAATTTCTAAGTTAATGCAAAAGGCTACATTTCTTTTAAATAAATGCTCTAAAGATCACCCTAGAAACAAAGCTTTAAAACTACTTTATTCTTCTAATTGTGTTTAATTAAACACATAAATGCCAGAAAATGAATACTTTTAACATCCTTGTAGAATTAACTTTCCCTGATACTCAAGTTTTGCAAATTATGGTGAGTGAGGCATCACTGGTTGGCACGTCTTTTAAAAGCAAATGCCATACAAATAAATAAATAAAATGTACAGATTCAGGTTAAAAACATACTTCTCTTTTACTTACACACACACTCTTCTCTATCTCACTCTCTCTGTGAAGAGTAAGAGGTTATCAGGTACTAAACTCACCTACAGAAATTTTCTAGGATACTAAAATGTTATCTTCAGCTTCTAGGAATCCATACTCTATTAATGTATCTTGGGGCTAGTAAACCCCAAGTGTTTTTCTGTGTATGTCTGGTATCATTAAGTGTCAAGCTACCCTCAATTTTCAAGTTAATTGGAGTCTTCTATCTAACGGTCTGATAAAAAGAATTCATTTTTGGAATCCAGATACATTTAGAATAAAATGCCTCATAACATGAAATTTTAGAAAAGTTATTTTCAACATAATTTATAGAAAAAAGAGTAAGTCATTTTAAAAAAATTATATAACCTGTCCTTCCTGCCTATGTTAAAAGTTCCTTACAACCTCAAGCATTAAAGATGCCAAGTAAACTTCCACTACAAAGAAAAGTTCAAACAGAATGACTTGGATTATTTTCAATAGGATTATCTGGAGAATACAAGTAGAACTGCAAGAAACCTTGTTTCTAGTCTGGGCAAGTCAGTAAAATCTTCCTGAGTTCTTTCTCATCTTTTGTAAGAAGCATACTTTCTTTCCTTCCTAGTTAAGTGCCATAAGCTCTATTCTTTTAACCAGCATTAATATTTATCAGCAGACAGAATTCTGAAATCTAGGTTCTAGCAGTGGGTGATACATGACACCTCACTCCTTCAGTTCCAGTTTAAGTCACCATTTCATTCTATCTTCAAAACTTTTTTTATGCTGTAAGTCTGAATCCAATGTGTAAAATATCTGAGATCTCATTATTCACAATAAAATTATTCAGACATTGTAAAAGGCAAACTGTAAGACGGTAGCAAAGCTACTTAATGTGCTAGACACAAGTCTTGAAAAAAGGCTGGGGCTGACTGACAATCATTTCTTGCTTAATTGGGAAACTGATAATGTATTTCTAATTGTTGTTTGAACACTTAAGGTTAATAGTAAAGTAAAAAGTAAGGGAAATCACTATAGGCCTAAGGACAGTAAAGTATCACCAAAAGGTGCATCATGGCACGAATATTTTCCAATGTTTTTATTTAAAACAAAACAGAACAGGATATTCTGAAATCAGGTCAATGTCTATGAATGTTTTTGCTAAATGTCCAAGGGTACACGGATTCTTCAATTACATTTTAAAATAAACAATTCCCTAAGACATAACTTTTTTATTTAAAGTTTAACAAACCACCAAACTCACGTTATTTGTTTTATTATTGCTCAAGAATAAAGGCTTCGTTTAAAAAGTTACACGAAGACATTTTATTTACTGAAATAAGGATAATCAGAAATCCAGTTCTCTTGGAAAGTATTAATTTGAAAATGACAAAAAAAGCGCTCACAATATATACACTTCAATTCTCAGTTAAGGGCAAATAAACAAGACTAAAAAATCTTTTTTAACAAAGCGAGTATAAAAGTTTTGTGGAAATCACAACGTCTCCACAAATTTAACAGACTGCTTAATATACTTATTCCCACATGGTGGTATTAAAACCCAGTTATTTATTTTATTTTTTGTAAAAATAATTTATGGTCCAGTTATTTACGTGGGGATTCAGGCAGATTTGTCTAAAACCATTGCTGCAACAAAAACATGCAGTCAACGAAAACAGTCAAGTTTAAAAGGTACGGGGGTGGGGGGTGAGGGGGAATCATCTAATATCACCAATTATTTTCAGTAGTCAAAACAAATCTTTATTGTAAGAACTGTGTCTACTTGATCCTAAAGAGAATATTCTGCATAGACTGATGGCATACGTCGGTCAATTTTTTATACCATGAACTGTACGCATTCTGGAGTAAGAGACCGCTAGTCCCTCTTTGCCAAAAGGCTGACAAACTTTCTGGGTGACGATGGTGTTAATCCAAGCTACGGCAGCTGAAAGCGGAAGGCAGAAAAGCACTGAGTTGGTCAGCGCACGATGCCCAGGCCCACTTGCAAGAGACCGCAGCTCCAAATACCACCAGTTGGACACGATGGTCTATCGTCACGCGCTAAAACTGTGTGCCACAAAATCTTTGCTCCCCAACCTTGATTCAGGGCGCTACATCAACACACTTCCGTTTTCCACCAAGCTGGAAACGAAGAAGGGGACGGTCCAACAGTTAAAGTGCTCAAAAAACGACTTTTCTACGGAACTGCCTAGAAAATACTATGCAAAATAACCACCATCTTCCATTTCAAGTGCCAAGGAAACAGGAGTTATCTGCAACAACACTTCTTTTTTCAAGGCTCCGACATTGGGACTAAACCACACCCCTCCATAAATGGCACATTCCATACAATGGTTCCGAGGATGGCAAAGGGCGAGTCCAACACCAAACTTAACTGAAATTCTGCGGAAAAAAAAGTCAGACGACCCGACACTAGGTGCTTTATTATGAAACTTATTGGAGGAAAAGACGGGGGCTCCATGGTGTCCTGACACCCACATGCCGGGGACGGGACTCACCGTTCACCCGCACCCCGCTGAGTAATGACATTTCCCCCAGGAAGGACATGGCGAGTCAGAAGGAACGGGCTAACTTCGGAGTTACACCTCTCAAAACCCGGGGCGGGGGAGAGGCGGCAGCCAGTTTTCCAGGGCCAAGTCCCCAACTCTTACTTTTGCACGCCCTCGGAGTCCCGCCTACCACGGGGCGCTCCGGGAGGCGGGGCCCTACGGCGACCGGGGAGCCCGCACACAGGCGGGTGGCAGCGCTGTCCCTCCCCCTTCAAGTGGAAGCCCTCTCAGCTGGAGAAAGATCAAGGGGTACCCCCAGGCCCCCACACAAGTCAAGGGCAGAAAGGGCAATTCAACCATCTCTGGCCCTTCCCCACTGATAACGGGGAGCAGCGCAGGAATCCACCGGTCTCCTCCTCCGCGGACTGCAAGGGGCCGGCCCCGAGGAGGTGGGGCCTGATTGGGGGCGCTGACTTCACACCCCTCCCCCGTCGGCTGCTGGCAGTTCAGGGAACACCCCGCCCGCTCCAGTGCGGCGGGTGGGGGAGGCCAAGCAGTCGGGAGCCCTGCAGCGGGGCGGGGAGGAGCGCGCGCATGGGCGCGCAACCGCCACCCCCGCGCAGCCCCGCGCGCCAGCAAGGCCCCCCACGCTCAAGGGCGCGCGCGGACCCCGAAAGAGAGGAGGCCGTGCGTGGCACCGGAGAGGGCCGACTCTAGGCTTCTGTCCTCTACTCCTTCACCACTCTCCCCAAAGCCCCTCCAACCCACTCCAGGCCTTAGACTCCGCACTGACCTGACAGGCCGAGACATGTTCGCTGTCGAAACAGGACCGAGTCGAGAAGCCAAAGACCAGGACCCCCCCCACCCCGCGCGCTCGGCGCCCCACCCCCCCCGAACTTCGGCCGCTGAGGCCGCTGCAGCTGAACTCCGAGCTGCTGGCTTCTCAAACTCCGCTGCTCCTTGTTTCAGGGCCCCTTGGTCAGACGAACCCCCCGTTCCCCTGTCTCTCCAAAATGGATGAATCAAACCAGCCGAAAATGCGCCAAAGCCACCGTGCAACCAAACACGCTAGGGCTTGTGCGCTCCGCCCCAAGGTGTCTGCTCATTGGCTGCCCATGCCAGACGCGCCCAATTTATTAGTCCATTTGAATCATCACGTCTCGCTGGTACCGCCCCTCAAGTGAGCTCCGCCTCCTCCGTGGGGGTCTTGTTAGTCAAGATGCTCTGAGAGCGCACGGCCGCAAAACAAAAATGGTCGCTACTCAGTCCGCCCCCTCGCTTCCACTCCAGTTTTGCAGATTCGTCATACGTCGCATGTTGGGACGATTAAAAAAAGAATCATATAGAGTTCGCTGAATATTAGTTTGGGGATGTTTTATTCCGCCTGTCTTAATCATCCAGAGATTCCTTTAAGAGCGAAATCTTCGATATGGATAGCAGATTCGTCACTAAGGGTCGGCTTCAGAAATGGAGGGAAATTCCATACGTTCAAAAAATTTGACCTTAAGCCCCTGAGACCCTCCCACTGACTTCAACGGGAGTTCTCAGGGCTCAACCACCCTTCTGGAGTAAAGAAACAGGCTTGTAATAAAGAAATAACTTAACCTCTATTTTCACAATTCTCCATTCTGGACCTTCTGGGTCATTAAAGTGCCGGTAACATGGGAAGCCCCAGTGGTCTCCTGTGAGCTGTACTACCAACCCAAAGACTCTTGGTTCGAGTCCATCAGCCGCTCCACAAGAGACAGGTTCCAACTCAGTGGAATACAACACTACCAGACATTATTATTTCAAAGAAAGAAGCATGAGTCTAGTAATCTCTGATGCTACAAAGTGTCTCGGAATCCCAAGTCACCAATAGTGGGATTAATTTTCTCTCTCTGTGCCTCAGTTTTCTCATCTGTAAAATGGGGCAGAGTAATATTTACCTATATCATGGCATTACTAGGTTATGAGAGTTTATTTGTGAAATGGGGTGGGTATCCAAGTCTTGTCTGATTCTGACAGCTCCTGGTGATTTCAAACCGCCAACCTTTCCCTTAGCAGACCAGAACTTAACCACTGTGCTATAGGACTGCTAATTTTGCATACAGACTTCAATGCTAGCCAAAGGCAGTTTGTAAATAACCAACTAAATGTGTATTCCTCAATCAAGCAAAACTCCCACTATGTGTTCCCCCTTTTACAAGATTCCCCCTTGTAAAATTCTCTAGGCAAGGGAACATCCCACCAGTGAAGCACTGATACATTCTTTTCATCCCTTCCACTCTCCAGTCTCTCCAAATTACATTTTGACTAAGTGTATCATCATCCAAACTACTATCAGAATGCAATGCCAGTGGAGAGGGTGATACGAGGACTGATTTTGCTGAAGGTTGTTTCATTAGGGCTAAATACTATTATTTTAGCTAATACAAGTATTTGGAAATCTGTGATGAGTCAGAGAAGTTTTCATTACTTATTGTTTTAGGTAATCTATTGAGATGGCCATAGCATGTCCAGGCAGGCAGAAAGTTTGGAACAGGTCTTCCAGGCCTTGGCTTGGGGGTTTAATGTAAATCCCATGTACAGATGGCTGCTGGATAAAAGCTTCCTTTCCAAGATGACAGCCATTCGCTACTTCTCACCATAGCTTCAAGCTTCAGTCTTCCCTCCATTTGCTTGTTCACAATAGTTTTTCAACACTGTCTCTTAAAACTCTGTTATTAGAAGGAAATAACTTGAAACATTAACTCTCTGCTTGTTTATTGGTGAGTATGGACAGAACTATGCCTTAAAGGGTCCTAGCAGTGCTTTGCTGGCTGCTGACAGAAACTGCAATGCACGCTGAGGCCAAGTCCCTCTCACCTATTCCCAAATAATGTGCCCTAGGCAACTGTCTCAAAAACAGGCAGCTTGTTGGAAACTTAAGAAAGACATTGATCATAGGATTAGATTAGATTCTGGAAGCACTATAGGATACTTCTGAAGGAACAAGATACTCAATAAAACTATGAGAAAATTAAAAAAAAAAAGGCTTTAGGCTAAGGAGATAGAAATGGCAGTCATTCCGTCTCCCTGGAAATTAAAGGCCTTTTAAATACAGCACTTCATTTCCGTATTGCATTAGTCTCCAGGGCTACTGTAAAAAAGAACCACAAATTAGAAGGTTTATAAGAACAGAAATTTATTGTCTCACAGCTCTGAAGGCCTGAAGTGTGAATTTCAGATGGGATATTGGCAGGTCATAGTCTTCTCAAAGCTCCAGATCTCTTTCTTGATAGCCTCAGGCATTCCTGACTTTCCCTGAGCCATATGGTCATTTTCTGTGTTTCTTGAACTCTTTCATAAGGAGTCACTGAGATTGAATTCAGACCTACCTTACTTCCATATAGGGAACTCTGGTGGCATATTCCATAGAGTTATACTTACTCAAGAGCCTCCCTGGTGGTCTGAATCCCTTAGCTGCTCTGAGGAAGAAAGAAAAATGTAATCGCCATGCAGTTTACAGCCTTGGAACCCCACTGGGTGGTCAGCTATCAGTAGATTCCAACTCAGTGGCAATGGCAGTGAATCTACTTTTGTATAAGGAACCTTGGTGACATCAGACATAATCTATCAGGCTGCTACCTTTCAATCAGCAGCTTAAATCCACCAGCTGCTCTGCAGGAGAAAGATGTGAAGGCTACTCCCTTAAAGATGTACTGAGGGTTGCTATGAGTTGGAACCAATTTAGCAGAAAATGACTGGGTTTGGATTTTGGGTTTACTTTATGAGGCATTCCTTGATAGTTAAGTGGAGGAGTTCTTGCCTTCCACATGAGCGATTCAGGCAGACTACCTGGCCATTGTATGCCATTTATAACCATTACCCATTCGCCAGTAGAGGTTTTTAGGTTGTATGATGCTGAACAGGTTTCTGTGAACTTCCAGACTAAGACAGACTAGAAGAAAGGCCTGGTAATGTATTTTTGAAAACCAGCCAGTGAAAACCCTTATGGATCATATGCTGGCCGCTAACTGAAGTGACAAAAGCATGACCCTATGCTAACTGATTACATCTTCAAAACTCTTTCGAACGAGGTCTGATTCACAAGTACCAGGTGTTAGAACTTCAACATAGCTTTTGGGGAGATAGAGTTCAAGCCGTAGCGTTGATGATTTTTAGCCACACAACACTTTGAAAAGCAGCTTTCCCCCTTTCTCTTGCATATGTTAAAGGCAATAAGGAGTGGGAGGGGAGGAAATGAGGTTTGTTTTAAGAGCACAGAGTTTTAAAGTTGTTGTTAGGTAGGTCCTGTAAGCAGACATATAATAAAGAAATAAATTCACCTCTATTTTCACAATCCTCAGTTCTGGACCTTCAGGGTCATTAAAGTCCCAGTACTGGGCGTTATTATTTCAAAGAAAGAGAGGCATAAGCCTAATAATTAGGAATGTAAGTTCTGGGGCCACAAAGTGTTTCAAACTCCCACGTCACCACTGTTCTTGTTGTTATGTGCTGTCAAGTTGCAACTCATAGCGACCCTTTCTTTGTACAACAGCTCTGAACCCTACCCTATTCTGAGCCAATCTCATCATCTCTGACAGATCTAATCTCATTTCTCTAGTCACTGGGTCAATCTACCTTATCCTGGGTTTACTTCTTCTGTGCTGTTCCTCCACCCTTCCAAACATGATGTCCTTATCCAAGGACTGGTCTCTCCTGACCAGATACGCAAAGTATATGAGACAGAGCTTCAAAAGCCTTGTCTACAGGAAGAAACTTTGCTTCACCCTCTCCAGGACTGATCTGTTTGTTCTCCTGTAATCCACAGCATGTTCAACACTCTTCTCCAGCGTCACAACTCACAAACATCAGTCTTTCTATCATCCTTAGTGTCCAGCTCTCTGATGCATAACAAGTAACTATGAAGACCATGGCCTGTATCAGGTGCACCTTAGTCTCCAGACTATCATCATTGCTCTTCAGTACTCTAGAAAGGTCCTTGACAGCAGACTTTCCTAAGGCAATTCGTCTTTTGATTTCCTGACTGCTGGTGTCAAGAGTGTTGATTGTGGAACTAAGTTAACTAAAGTTATTGACAATCTCAATCTCTTCATCTATCATGAAGCTGCCAATTAGCAGAATCTTTGTTTTCTTGATGTTGAGCTTCAATCCATATTGGAGGCTATAGTCCTTGATCCTCTGCAGCAAGTGCTTCAGGTCCTCCTCAGTTTCAGTAAGCAGGGTTGTGTCATCTGCATAGTAAGTAGGATATTTTTCCTCTCTCTGTGCCTCAGTTTTCTGATCTGCAAAATTAGGAGTAGAAGTACCGACCTCACAGGGCTATTAGGATTGTTGTTGTTATTATGTGCCTTCAAGTTGCTTGTGACTCATAGCAGCCCTATGTACAACAGTTCTAAACTCTGCTCTGTCCTGTTCCAATCTCATTGCCTCTGACACATTCATCCCGATCGCCCTAGTCACTGAATCAATCCACCTCCCAGAGGGCCTTCCTCTCCTGCGCCTGCCCTCCTCCCTCCCAAGCATGATGTCCTTCTCCAGGGACAGATCTCTCCTTACATGACCAAAGTATGTCAGACGAAGCCTCAGAATCCTTGCCTCCAAGGAGCAGCCCGGCTTAACCCTCTCAAGGGTAAATCGGTTTGTTTTCTTAGCAGTCCATGGTACGCTCAATACTCTTCTCCAACAAAAAGCTCAAAAGCATCAATTGTCCTTCTATCCTCCCTGGTCATTGTCCAACTCTCTGATGCATAACAAGTGATTGCAGAGACCATGGCCTGTACCAGACACTCCTTAGTCCTCAGAGACACACTGTTGCTCTTTAGTACTTCAGAAAGGTCCCTAACAGCAGACTTTCCCATGGCAATATGTCTTTTAATTTCCTGGCTGCTGGTGCCAAGAGTGTTGATTGTGACATTGGGTAGACTGTGACTCATAGCAACCTTGTAAATAACATATCTGAACTTGGTCCAATTCTGTGCCATCCTTGTCATCTCTAATATAGGTTTATTAAGATTGTTGTTA